AATTCACCACTGTTACTGCCGTTCTTAAACCATGTGGTCACCAATCCTGTCTGTGTTCTGTGCACAGCTAAAATTCCTGCTGAATGACCTGCCCTGGGAGCGAGTTACCAGTGACCCAGGCCTGGGGCAGCAGGGGGGTGCGGGTGGTGGGGGAGAGCCCAGGGCTGGGGACGTAGGGGGGTACGGCGAGGAGCCCAGGGCTGGGACGGGGGGCAGCCAAAATTTTTTTGCTTGGGGCGGCAAAAAACCTAGAGCCGGCCCTGGTAGGAGAGCAAGGGAAGGCCAGTGCCACTCACAGTCAGGCTCATGTGCATCATCCACATGCTGGCTAGATTTCCTTTTACAGGTCTAACTGCATTCTTATATGGAAGAACAAAGAGTGTTGCCCTGAGCTTATATTAGATGTCAAATTTGTATTTGTGTGACTATTAAGCTATTTAACCAGGAAATTTCACCAACTGTCCCTAGATAAGCTAGAAATAGCCTCAGCATATATATATATATATATATATATAATGTCATTATAACAATTATTCAGCACATTAATAGTCCAAACTTTTACATACTTTTCAGCTATCAAAAAATACAAATTTAAACCAATATTACTAATCCATCTTTCTTTCTTTCTTATCAGGCCTCGCTAGGCGCAGTTTAATAAATTAAAATCATGACATTCATCAAAATGTAGAAAATAAAACACTGAAAAAACACACCTCTAAAATAGAAGGGCTCAAAGAAAACCACTGCGTAAACTGCAAAGGACTCCATGTCTGACAAGAAATGGATGTTGGTTGTGTTGTTGTTCTAGTGACATCTTTATTTATTGTCTAAGGTTTACCCCAGAACATAGGTTCCCAATTTTTCCCATAATCAGAGAGATGCAAATGACCAATGTGTATTCCTTTTTTCCTTGTATCTCCCAATGTTTCCATGGCGCCTTGTAAAGCTAGATTGGCGCATTATGCAAAGTTGACTGAAATGGTCTTTCTGTCTGATCTAGGATTACAATTTAATTTTCTACGAATGCAGTGCCTGTTCCGGTCATAATACTCATGAGTCAGTGCTTCACTTAGCTAGGTAAGGAAAACATCGTTTGCTTTTTTAAAACATGGACTATTGTATGGGTAAAAAAATCAAACTAAGTGAAATGAAGGCCGCAAAGGACACAATAAGAAGAAAATTCAATGCAAGAAGATTTGTAAGTGAACTGAGTTGATCCCTATCACTGACAACTGAATGGATTCTATTTGCTAAATTAATTGTCTCTGATAGGAACCAACCTTCCGCCTTCTGAATACTGTCTTGTGCTTTTTACGTTATAGTCAATAGTGCTGATCCTGCAAGAAGCTCCAAGTGGACAGAACTCTGTGCCCACGTGGAGCTCCACTGAAGTCAGTGAAGCTCTGCACAGGCAAGAGGGTCCGTCTATGCAGAGTCAGTTGCAAACTAAGGGCTTCTGAGAGGAGGAACGTGTGTAGAGGCGCAACACACAGTGATGGCTCCCAAAGGCAGACTATGGGAGTGCTGGGGAAATGCACACAGCGATGGACATAGCTATGCTCTTTAACAGGGTACAGGGTGTGCTTCTCCCCCCATGCCAGTTCAGTTCTACTAACTGGTTGAAAGACTGAGGAGTATATTTTCAGAAGTACCTAAGGGATTCAGAAGCACAAATCCGACTGAAATTAAATGCGACTTGTGCTCCTAAATCCTATTGGCATTTTTGTAAAGCTCCCCCAATACACTTTGAACAGGAGAGAAACTAATAATGAATGGCAGATATTGGAGACAGTACTTCCTGGCAGGAACCTTCAGGCAAATCATCATTCCTATGGAAATTTGTGAAACTTTGGGGATTTGTTGAACTTTGTGACCAATACCCAGTGGCTGCCAACAATGAATAACACAAACCCCCCAAATAACAGCAATGGACTCGCTGCTTTGATTCACAAAAATATTCACAAGTTGACAATGATCAGCTCTAATTCCAGTTTTCCAAGTAAATGAACAAAATAGATTTTTGCAATACAATAGCCTTGATTCTTGTTTTATAAACTGTGCTCACTTACTCATTAACTCACAAAATTCTGTTGTTTTCAATTAATCTCCCAGTCATCAGTGAAAATTAGCCATGTCCGACTATGATGGCGTGGGTTTTTTTCTTGTAGGTATTATTGCCTTTTTCTGAGAGTAGTTTCTTTTTGCTTCTTTCCTAGGATTTTAAAGGAACAAGAAGATAAAGTGAAAGAAAAGACTGTTCAGCTGCTGCAAGACTCAAAGAAAAAGTCTTGTTGTATCAGACTGTAGAAGACTAGGGTAAATTTAGACAACAATCATACATCTTATATCACACTACAGTGCATCAACACATCTGCCTCATGTTCAAAATATGTCTTATGCTACGTTGTGAATGTAACAACAGAAAACCTTTAAGAACCTAGTGCACACTCACTTCTCACTCTTTGCAAAGATGAAGGCCTTAGGATTACTTAGACTGTAAAGACTTCAAGGCAGGGACCATCTTTTCGTTATGTGTTTCTATATCACTTAGTACCATGGGGCCCTGATCCATGACTATGCTCCTAGATGCTACCGCAATACCAATAAGAAATAGGAATAAGAAATCTACTTAGAACAGGAAGCTAATTCTCATAGGGCCTGATCATAGACACCCTTACTCAAGTAGCCCTTACCTTTTGAGTAGTCCAGTTGGCTTCAGTGGGATCACTCATATAAGGTTAGAGTTTGCGGGACTGGATCCCTAATCTTGTAGCCTCAAATCTTGGTTCCATGTTGATCTTCTCTAGTTGTGTCTGGTTTGGGGTTTTTTAAATTATTATTATTTAAATTTTAAGCACAAACAACTAAATATAAAACTCTGTGTTAAGGTTTTGAGTGTCAATATACAAGAATGAAGGAAAGAAATAGTCAGGATTCTCAGAATAACATTAACTGATCCACACTACACATCTATAGTATGTTTATTACTAGTCACACTCTTTGCACATGAAGCCTCATTGTGGGCCCATAACTCATGCTGGGGTGCCTTTACATGACTCAGTGATTCCTGTGGGACTCTTCATACATAGAGGTTTTCACCACTGCCAGTGCGGGTTTTACAAATGACCTATACAGCAAGCCATGCTCTTAGATGTCACTGGCAGATGGCTGTTGTATCAGACTTATGGCTGACACAACTCCTCCCTCTCACAAGACTCCATCACAGAAGGTTTAGCATAAGATAGTCCAGGGCCAAAATTTTTGAAGCTGTCTGCCTAAAGTTAAACCAATGTTTTTGGAGACATTTTCAAAAAGCATCTCAGGGACTTAGGAGCCCAGATCTCACTGAAATCCAAGGGGATTTAGGCTCCTAAATTCCTTAGGTGCTTTTACAAAAATCCTCACTATGCACCTAAATAAATGCCCTGATTTTCAAAAGTGCTGACTAGCCAGCAGCTCCCTTGGACTTTAATCAGAGCTGCTGGGGTCACACCACTTGAAAAATCACACCCTTTATGTAGGTGCAGGCCCGCCGACAGCAATTCCCAGCCCCCAGGCAGAACAGTTAATGGGCCCCCAGGCATGCACAAGCCGCGCCCGCACAGACGTGATCCACCTGACATTTGGGCAGTGCTGTGCCTGCAGTGGCTGGTGCCCAGCAAGCGCCGGCTGCTCTGCTGGGCATGCTCTTCTGGCATAGCCAGGGCTTCCACATGCCCCGCCGGTAGGGTTGCCAACTGTCTAATTGCACAAATCCAAAGACGCTTGCCCCGCCCCTTGCCCCGCCCTTTCCCTGAGGCCATGCCCCGTCCTGCCAGCAGCGGTGGCAGCCACCGGGGATCCCCAGGCCCTTTTAAATCGTCTGGGCCCCTGGGAAATTGCCCCCTTTGCCCCCCCATCGGCGGGCCTGGGTAGGTGCCTAACTTTAGGAACCCATCTTAAAATCTTGGCCTAGAACAACACACTGAATTCATTTTTCCCTTTGGACACCCTGGTGGAATATCAATGAAATGAGCAACTTCAGAGCTGGCCTTCCAGCAAGAATCTGAATAATTCCTGATGGAATTCTTCTGTGTTGCACACAGTGGTACTTCTGTGCTTTCAAGAATTGTTGTAAATGTGGATGAGCTTGCACAGAAGAAACAGAACCTGTCGCAGTTTATTTTATCAATAGAACAGAACTGAAGATTATTTGCTATAAAAAAAGAAAGATGATTTATAAATTATATTTTCAATCCATTTTCTAACTTTCAAAAGTTTTTTTTTAAAACTTGAATAAATAGATTTGAAACCAATTTAATTAAAAATAAGAGACTGTGCTTTTATAAAAGACCAAAATGCTAAACACTAGTTGTATATGTAGCTATTTTATTTTATTTTTTGAATAAAACCTTTAAAGTAATTCAGTATGCTGTTGGACATTTGTCTCTCAAAAATATTCATCTAGATGCCAGTCACTGTAGAACAGGAGTTCGCAAACTTTTCCTTAGAGCAACCCCTTTCTCCATACGACGAACCCACTTTGATACTCTGCCAAATAGCTTAGGTCTAGCCAGGACCTCTCCTTCCATCAAGATGGGACCTAATTCCTATTTAGCACTGTCAGATGGGCAATATGGTCCATGACCATCTAACACCTGCTTGCAAACCTTTCCCTCTCTGGTGGGTCATGACACCCAGGTTGAGAATCCCCACTGCAGTGTTTAACAACGGAAATACAGTGAAGAAGAGCAGCACAACATTCCAAATGAGGGCAGGCTATTCCCTTGGCTTTCCAGGGTTGTGTCTTTATATATAGAACCATTTTCTGGAGGTCAGCTACTGTGGGGAGGGGACACATTACTGTTGCACTGGGTTCTGAAGGTTGTTCCCACTGAGGATTTGCCATAATGACAGCCATCAGGGCCCAGATCTGGAAAGGAAAGCTGCTCCTTACTCCAGCTTGAAACTGGGGTAAGTGTCACCAGGTCGAGGAGAGGCTTTGCCTTTCAACTACACGAGGGATAAATCTCCAGGGCAGCAATGCCTCAGACTCAGGCACATTCTGCTCTCCTCTGGTTCAGAGTTCCATAGATCAGCCAGCTGCAGAGCCAGTCTCTGGGCAACCAAACAAGCGCAGCCTGATTGGTGAGAAGAGGCAGCAGGCCAGCTCTTAAGCCCAGCAGCAGCCGCAGTTTTGTGGCTGCTCAAATAATTTGCCTAAGGCTGTGATAGCTCTTGTGCCTGCTTGTTCCCAGTCCAGCGACTGCCTTTCCTTACTCAAGGTAACCTGACTCAGACCCTCGGCTCTGATTTCTGACCTTGGCTCTGGCATCTGTGACCCTATTCTCCTATTCCTGGCAGCTGATTCTTGTTCCAGCCTCTGGGCATGGCCACCCACATCCCTCTTTCTGTAACCAGAACTTAATGTCTTTTATCCAGTTTCTGTTAGCCTTGGCAGGGTGGTTTTAGGTCCTGACTCTGCTCTCACCAACACTGGTTTTCCCCTTATGTAGCTCCAGAATCAGGCCCCTAATTTCTGGTTCCATGAAGAGCAGCGTTGTCTCTTGAGGATCACAGATGGGGGTGGCCTCTAAGATAGCCTGCTGCCATTCCTGTAATGCTTTAAAAGCTAAGACAATATTCTGGTACTGGAGCAGGAAACAGTAGGGGGAGCAGAGCATAGGTGTAATGGGTCCTCTGCATCTACTTCTATTCAGGTGGCCAACTTGTTGGGGGTAATAACAGTATCATGTGATGTGAATTGCTGATTCAGAGTCCTTGACTCCAGACCTCTGCAACACTGCCGAACACTTCTGTTACTGGATTTCGTTAAGTACAATTTATTTTCTGTCTTCCATCAGACATTTACCACTAGTCATTGTGCCAGATTCAGCCCTGGTGTAACTATTGATTTTAATGGACATCCTCCAGGGATGAATATCAGCTTGTGTTCCCTGGGTCTGAATGATGCTGGAACCTCGAGATCGAGACGCTCCACTGAAGAAGTATTTGTTGCATTCAGTGAGTCTGATTCTGATATCACTTCCGCTGGTGTAAATCCATTGCATCAGTGGAGCTATTTCTGATTCACACAAATGCACAGTAAGCGAGACCCAATTCAACGTGCATCACTTCCCAGTGACGCTGTGGTTAACTGACAGGAGACAGTGTGATTGACAGACTAAATGAAACGTAGAGTGAGTCATTTCAATCTGTGTGAAAGCACTTGATATTGATTGATCCTCTTCATTTACAATATACATTATCAAGAGCACTTTAACTGCAGTGACAATAATTTTGGAAGTGATGTTTTTATATGCCCGATCCTATGTCAGGAGAATATTACTCCATCAGAGATCATTAACGAAGAGTTCCACTTCATCGTCAGCACAAGTGGGAACCTGCTTTATAAAGTAGATATATGCAAATACAGCTGATTAGCAGCACCTTCCTAAACTCATCTCAGACAAAATGGAAAGATGCCCTTTTGATCTTTAAAATGACAAAACTTACAGAAATGAGTACTTGCAGTTTTGAGAACTTTAAAAGCTAGTACTTCAGCCTAGTTAAAGCTAAAACATCATAAACTCTGTTAATTTGAAAGGGGTAAAAAAACCTGACTCCCCAGCTGACCATGTTAGGATTGAGTGGATTTCAATCATTTTTTCATTCCAAGAGGTAATTTCTCCAGGTTAAATTTAAGGGGCATCGTGAACAGGCAGTAGTCCCAAGTAGTGGTTAGATTCTGCAGCAGCCAGCTCACTCAGTGGTTGGGAGCAGGGGAATTTGGGCCATCTCACTCTGCCAGGTCTGACCCAGGGGCGGGGGCACCAGAACATGGGGACGGGGCTATGGGGACATGACCCCATCACTTTTTACTGGCCGTAACGGCGAGTGAAGGGGCGGAGAGGAATGAGCAGTTCTCGCAATTCTCTATTACTCTGGTTTAATAATAATAAAAAAAAAGCCTGAAAATTCAGCCTCTTATTTAGACCTGTAGGTCTAGATTCAAAAGGGGACGTAGGTGTTGCAATGCCTAACTTCTAGGCACCCTGCTTCCTAGTGGAATTCACAGCCCTGAGTTAGGTGCCCAGACTCCCCATAGACTGTATGGGGAGAATTAGGCTATGTTTACGCTATGAGCTAGAGATGTGATTCCCAGCTCGAGGAGACATACTTGGACTGGCGCTCCATAGAACTAGTATGCAAAAAGCAGTAGTGTAGCGATGGTATCCCAGGCTAGAAGCGCTATGTATTCTGGGCAGCTAGCCAGTGCCATTGCTTGCCATTGCCCATGCTAACCCTGCTACACTATTATTTTCAGCATGCTAGCTCAGATGAGAGCCAGTGCAAGTGTAAGGGGACTGTTGCCCCCTTACTAACATTCAGTGGGGGTGTTTTGGTGGCTAGCTCCCAGCACTAAAAGGGGCAGGGTCGATGGCAAATCAGGAGCCTGAGACTGACAGTCCCCAGGAACAATGGGGAGAGGCCAATGCTTTAGATCAGCCTGATGGACAGGGCAGGCAGGCTAATCAGGGAGTCAGAAGGCCAGAGGGGGTCCCGTCCTCTGTGTGAACTGGAATGGCCTGGGTCAGACAGAGTGGGGCCGAGCTAAGGAGAGAGCAGGGGCCCGAGCTAAGCTGCTGGGAGCAGAGCTGCAGCCCCAAAGCCAGAGCACAGCCCAGAGAGAGCAGAGCTGCCCTGGGAGCAGAGCTGTAGCAACCAGAGCCAGAGGGGCCAGACAAGCAGCCAGGGAGCAGGTCAGAGCTGGGAGCAGAGTCACAGAAGCAGCCTGCAGAGCAGACCTGTGCTGGGGGCAGAGCTGCAGCAACCAGAGCCAGAGAGGCCAGAGAAGCAGCCCAGGGAGCTGAAGGCAGAGCAGCAGCAGCAGCCATGCTGAGGCCGAGTGGAGCTGGAGCCGGGGCTGGAGCAGTCCGGAGCTGGGGCTGGGGCAGTCCGGAGCCGTGTGCAGTCCGAGTGCAGTGAGCAGCTGGGGAGAGTGAGGGGGACCCTGGGCAGTGGGCCCAGCGCAGGGAGACACCTCAGCCAAGAGGCTCTGCAGGCCAGACTTGCAGGGGGATCATAACCCCGACTGGGCGGGGGCGACGCTGGGAAAAAGGGTCCTGCCACCTAGAGCCTGAGAGAGTGTGGCCACCGCCAGAGCAAGTGTCCAACCCGCAGCGTCTCTGCAGCACAGCCGGGGCCTGAGAAGGAGCCTGGGACCTACAAGGAACAGACTGTGAACTGCCCTGACGTTCCAGAGACACTGTTTGTAATGTTCCCTGCCACAGAGCGGGGTGATGTGTTTTCCTTTAACCTTTCCCATTTTTCCTTATTCTTTTTTTAAAATTAATTGTTAATTAAACAACTTGTATTTGCTTTAAATTGTATGAAATGATCAGTGGGTCAGGGAGGTGCCCAGTGCAGAGAGAGTACCCTGGAGTGGGGACACCCTA